GTATAAACTATAAACATACTTTAAGTAAGTAAATTGTTTTCCTCTTTAAAAATTGTTAAACTACAATAGAATGTGCTTTATTTTAGATTTTAGCTTCATATTATAGATTTAGTTTTTAAATAGTGACATTTTTCAATTAGCTGAAAAACATCTTGTTTCTTTAAACACAACAATAAAATCCAATGAACAGTGTACACTCACCTTTATTACAATTTTTCCGGTTAAAATTTTTGAAGGTCACAAAATTCCTTAATAGAGAAAAATGTTAGAGTTTGTACAAATTAAAGCACGCATTAGCATATTCAGCGCTTAGTATTACAGCTATAAGGAAATTTGTATTAAAATTTTATATTTTTGGATTACATAAACCTTGACCGTATATAATCTTCAATGACCTTGAAGATGTTATTAAGAAAAAATATTAGTCTGTACGTCTTGTTCAAAATTGTGGCTAAATCTAGTAAAACATTCAGCATAAATAAATCTTTAACTACAGAAACTATTTCAATTATTTATATAATTAAATTCTGTATATTTGAGTAAAATTATTTACAAGCTTTTACCCGTGACTGTTTTCGCGCGAAATAAAAATTTAAAATGAATCGAGGTTCGTTTAACCGGTTCATATCCATGCAATACTGATATTCGTAAAAAGTAAAAAAAGTGAGAACCTGTGTATTCTTACGATATAATTAAACAGCCACTTAGTGAAGATTTTTCTAAAACCACACTAATTCACATACTTTAAGTGCAGTAAACATGAATATAAAAAGTACTCCATAATGACGTAACGAAGGATCATAAACTGCTGAGCACGTGGAGAATCAATCATCCGAAACCTCGAGAACTGTCACCGGAAGTTGACGCAGTGAAGGTTGCGCTACATTATTCAATTATAACTTATTTAACTTTAAGTTAAGATAACCCGATAAGTTATCAAGTTAATGAGCAATAAAAGATTAAGTGTTAAAAAAAGAGTTGATAAATGTTCTCATAAAGTCACAAAAGGTTTTAAAAATTACTATCTTTCGCCCGCGACTCTGACTGCGTGGAAAAAATGAGCTAAATAGTCTATGTGTTCTCCCAGTCTATGGTCTGTCAATTTTCACCGAGTTCTGTTCAAAAGTTTAGGCTACAAACTCTAACAAACATCCATCCGTCTAAACGCATTTATAACGAGTCGTTAATGGTCTATAAAAAAACAGAATTTCTTCTTATTTATCTTACAAAAAACCTAAACTTAGGGACTCTTTCCTTTAGTTGTTGTCCATTAATAAGAAATAAATAGTCGGTTAGTACAGATAACTAAATCTACACTTAAGTCCCGCTTAAGATCAATGAGTACACTTCATGTAAAACTAACTAGTTACGCATACATTTAGTTATTTGAGTCAAAAAATGACATAAATATATTGAATGGCCAGTCGTGGCTGGTCCAGGAGACAGGGAGAGCCGGCGGCCGGCGCCGAGCAGGCGGGGTGCGAGTTGCGAGCTGCGAGTTGCCGGATTGGCGATCGATGGCTTCACGAGACACCGCGGCGCCGCTTGCGTCGACAAACTTAGGATACATAATGATATGTAGCTGTATTGGTTTTATCAAAGCATTTTTTTGTGGCAACTTAGAGAGCGTTACCTAATTAAGCGATGATGGCGAATTGACCACTGCTATCGTTTGTAATAAATCAAAACTTTGCAGAAACTTTACAAATGTTTTTTAATAATAAAAGGGTAGGAGGAGGTAGAGGAATGGATTTTTGCAATTTGATTGACTTCCTCTTTTTATCGACCTTAGGCGATGGATTGGTGTAAATTAACAGTTCTTTTTTTAATTATTTAGTAAATTTACTCTGCGATATTGATATAAGATAGATAACATTTGCTTCATGTATTAATTTTCATACAATTTGATGATTAATTCTAAGAGCTGCAGAACTGGTGACTAAAAAATCCTTTATCCTGTATTTTATAAAACTCTTGTTTGAATATTCCTAATGTACAGTAGAAAATTATCTCCCATAATAAAACAGCTACATACGTTAGTGCGGTGCACGCGGCGCCCGCCGGCTCGTCTGCAACAACAGTAAACAGTCGAACTTGCCGCATCCCATTGTCTCCACCACATTATCTGCGTCTGTTTACACTGACAGTGCCTCGATACTAATGCTATCGCTTAATTAAATTAATGTTGCGAGTACTATTTAGCTTTTTTTTTCGTATCGAGCTGAAAGAGTTCTTTCAGTCTTTTATTTGTAGCAGACGACTTACTCGTATAAATTGTATTGTGATTTGTAACCTCTACTTGATCTGAATTATAAAAGAAATTAAGCTAACTTATTTTATACTTTGGTAAGAACATTAGATATGACATTCTTAAAAACCTAAGAGTTAATCAGACAATGTTTTTTTTTATTTGAGTAATAGTGATTTCTGCAGAAGATTTTGAAGCTCTACAATTTATTCAACTAATGGCGTTATTAATCTATTTTTTTACAAATTTAATTATTTGTATAAAACACTCACTTGGTAATACTAAGAGCGGGCGCGGATTTGACTAAACTATCGCACAACTGTTATGCGATTGTCAATTGTTTCGCAGTCCATTCAAGTGTTTAGTTGTACAACTAAAAATCGAGTAATGAGCGCACCTCCATATAAGCTCATACGAATCAAAGCATACATCCAATTTACCTGAACAATCGGACTTTTCAGTTAAAATGTACTTCATCATCAATTGGCCCTTATCCCTTATGGAGGGTCGGCACACTATGTGCTGCTCTTCCATACATCTCTATCAGCCGTCATATCTGAATCCACTCCATTCTTAAGCATATCCTCTTTCACACCATCCATACTTTCTTCGGTCTTCCTCTTCCTTTGTAGCCATCCACAATACTTTCTGGTTTATGTCTCTACCGTCTCGTCGCAGAACATGTCCATACCACGATACCCTTTTGCTTCTTAATTTCTTCACCGCTGGCACAACTTTCAAACTTCCTCTAATATACATTCTAAAACGTAAAAAATATAAGATGTACTTGTGTAAGCATATTGATAACTTAGCAAGATGAAGGTATAGCTGGCTTAAATAGTGTTGATCAAGAATGTCAATCGCAATACCAGACGATTGCGGTTAACACAAACATCTGTTGTAACAGCAACTATGCAGTACGGCATTCTATCGGCATGCCGTATTCACGAGTATACCTAAATGTCATCAGTAGAGACAGGGACGGTTTTATTATTATCGCCCTGGGCGAGATTATTACGCTTAACGGCAATACAAACCAATACACAGGCTTTCTACTATCCGTCGCCCTGGGCGGTCGTTCCACCTGGCCCGCACGGTATAAGTGCAGACCACGAATCTTCAAGGGCGTTGTTCATGTTGGTATTTGCCTCTATTTCGACATCTACTAAAAAGTAAGACATATTTAGAATATAAAAATAATCCTACATATATATATTCAAGCAGATAGTTACGAGTATTTAGGCTTACAAAGTAATTTTTTGCAGCTTAAATGTGTATATAATATAATTCAATAGTTTAAAATATTTAGACCGCTTGTACACCCACGAACATCTCCATAAGCAGAGTTTTGTTACCAGTTTCTCCCAAATTAGAGTTAAACCACAAACACTTGACACTGGCCCAATCCGCTGTGGGAGAGTCATAAACAAGAAATAGAATAGAATAAATGTGTATGTTTTATCTATACTAGTGTCATAAACAATACAAATTTGTAATTTTTCGTATGTATTGAAATTAATCGAAAACTACTTGACCGATGTTCCAAATTCTTTCGCCATTAATAAGCTTGATTATTACTGAGTACGCTATTGTTATTTTTTACACGTGGACGAAGTCGCGTGCAATAGCTAATTTATATTATAACAATTCGAATCCTTCATAAATTGAAAAGGCATTGTTCACTTCCTGTTGGCTTTTATAAAACAGAAATAGATGATTTTGTAAGCTCGTAGAATTAATAATAACAGTTACAAGTGGCACTTGTTAATTTCATTTATCATAGTTATTCTCACTTTTCGAGTCTTTAAGATAAATATTCAGAAGTATCTTTAGGAAAGGTGCGTGGGCGAAGTGTAGCCTCGAATATTCCTTTGAAAACCGAAAACTTTTTAAAGTAAACGTTTTCAATTAAATGATGCTAAAAATAAGTTTTATAAATTAGGTTAAACTTATTCTTTGAGAGTTTTTAAATTTCATTTCGGAAAAGTGCTAATAATAATTAAAACTGTTTAAAAGAGGTTATTACAGTGGTAGAGCCCGCTTTAACATCTGCGCACGAATAGGTCGGCTCGCCCGGTGTAATACCACGACCACACAGAAAACAGGCGTGAAGTGGAAGATATTCCGCGTATCGTCCGACGAGTGCGGTGCCGGAGGCCTAATTTTAGGCCCTTTCCGTTTCCACCCTTTTCTTAAGAGGAAAGGATAGGAAGGAAAAGTGGATTCGACGGTGGAGGAGACGCATGTCCTCATTATGTGCGTCTCCTCCTTCGTCAATTAAGGGTAGGCAACGCATCTGTATTTGCGGACGTCTATGTTGTGATGTGTGTGATGTCTGTATTGGCAGCGGTCGCTTTCCATTTCGGTGGATTCAGGTGGCCGCTTGCTCGTTTGCCATCTTATGTTATAAAAAAAATTATAGAAAATATTTTTTTAAGATATTATATCTAAATAGTACTATTTTAAGAATATGGTTTAGGGCACTTCGGTTAAGTGCCTATTTGCGCTGGATAAGCACAACTGTTGGTATAAAGCAGTTTTACTTATTTCTACTGGCGTGATCCGCGTAGTCTCTTGTGGCTAGTGAAAACAAATACGCTAACAAACCAGCTTAGCGGTACAACCTACTTATCTTCATCAACTGATGTGACCTTATACCGGTATGCCGACTGTGTACTAAGTTTTTAGAAAGTGTGTTACCTCTCCTTCACACACTATGAACATATTTGCTGTCTCACTCGAACACCATACGAAGAAAATCAGTGTTACTCAGAACATGTGAAGTGCGTATTGTTTTTGTCATAATAATACAATAATACTGGCTGATTTTGGTTTGTTTCTTGTTTAAATATGGAACGTAAAATGGACGAAATGATTACAGTAAGTATTGTTTATTTTAGTTTTTTCCTGTTAAAGATTATACAATTACCAAATAATAAAATCATAAAAGGCTAGCTTTGTTTGTTTTTAAATTTCAAATATGTATTTCAAGCAAATTACAATTGTTAAATCAAAAAGTTAGAAAACACAAACTTAATTTTTTTTTTGTGAATTATGATGTACAAATTCTAAATATTTAAACTCACGATAAGAATTTAGATAAAACTTGATAAAAATAACTCCGATTAAATATTAACAAGGAACTTATCTCTTGACCAAAGATAGCGTGATATTAAAACATTTTTTTTTAGACTTTAACCAGATTAAATAAACTAGATACGAATTAATTATATTTGTAATTACATAATTAATTAATAGAGAAAACTAATTTTGTGCATATCACAGTTGGAATGTGTAACTTTTTTATAAAACATAAGGTGGCAAACGAGCAAGCGGGCACCTAAATCCAATGAAACGGAAAGCGACAGCTGCCCATAAACATCCGCAATTGCAGATGCGTTGTCCCTTAATTAACTGAGGAGGAGATGCACATAAAGAGGACATTTCCATCCCATCCTTTCCTCTTAAGAAAAGGGTGGGAAGGGAAAGGGACTAAAATTAGGCCTCCGGCGCCACACTCCTTAGACGAAAAACGGAATTACTTCCACTTCACGCCTGTTTTCCTTGTGGTCATGGTATTATACCGGACGCGCCGGCCCATTCGTGCGAAGATGTTATAGCGGGCACTAACACAGTTAATTTTTAATACCACGACCACACAGAAGACAATGTGAAATGGGAGCAATTTCGTGTTTCGTCTGATGAGTGTGGTGCCGGAGGCCTAATTTAAGTCCCTTTCTCTTTACCACCCTTTTCTTACAAGGAGAGGATGGGAACAGGAAGTGGATTTGATGGTAGAGGAGATGCATAGGAAGAGGAAATATCCTCTTGATGTACGTCTCCTCCTCCGTCGGATAAGGATAGGTAACGCATCTGCAATTGCGGATGTCTATGGGCAGTGGTCGCTTCGCCATATTGGCGGATTCAGGTGGCCACTTGCTCGTTTGCCACCTTATTTTATTAAAAAAAAAATTAGGAAATTTTGTGATCGAAAATATAACTATATATCCAACCGCTTATCATTCCGTATTGCCTATATCAATTTTCCTGTTGCCAATAAAAATAGAGTACATTTAGTTAATTGTGTACTAGTAATAACGTATTATGCTCTACCTACTATATTTATCATCCCAGAAAATAATAAATATCTTTATTTATTTATAGGACACATCAACAGATGAAAAGGAAAAAAATAACAACGATAATAATGGAGAGACAGATTTCATTCATGGAATATGTCGACAGAAATATTATGAAGGAAATTATAACATGTTTTTATTAATATTTATTATAGCAGTGTCCATAGGAGTGATTGTACAGAATTTAAAATTAGATAATTCAAATAAAAATTTTACCAAAGATTATAAGACCGACAGAAGGAAGTACTGGGTATATTCTGCGTACAACGATGTAGAGAACAAAAACGGATTATTAAAGCATGTCCATTTAGTGCTTGAAAGAATAGGTTATGAGAAAAGTTCTAACACAACTCCTTGGAGTCTTTTATGGTCGCACGATTACCCTTTCCGAGTGTTATATCCAAATTTACATAGATTAAAACCAAATCAGATGGTCAATCACTTTCCCGGTACAGGATTTATAACTAATAAAGTTGATTTAGCAACTTCGAACTCTAAATATATACCTAAAGCGTTCAAATTGCCCGCCAACAAGAATGAGTTTCTACAATACGCATCAAAGAATAAAGATGCATTATTTTTGGAGAAACACAATCAACACAGAGGAGTATTTCTCAAGAATGTGAGTGAAATAGACTTGTCAAGTGGAGAAAGTTTCGTGCAAGAGTATGTACAAAAACCGTTCTTAGTGGATGGACATAAGTTTGACATTGGTGTGTATGTTGTCCTAACGTCTGTTAATCCTCTAAGAGTTTATTACTACAAAGGTGATGTATTATTCAGGTAAATATGTATAGTTTTCTCTTTCTATAATTTACACGTCCTGCTTTTCGATGACGTCAGTAGGCTTGAACGTGTAACGAAAATAGAGTAGCACTGTGAAACTTTTATAGTCTATGATTTTCACTCATATCTTTATTCAACGATTGATAAAGCTAAGAAAAACTACGTAATTTACATCTTAGTTACCTAAATAAACTCTCCTATTAATAAATTCAGATAAGTTTTAATTAAATTTAGTGTTAATTAGATTCAAGAATAAAAATTAAGGCCACTACGTCTGCTCTTCGTTTAAAAATATTCTATATTTTATTATAATATAACGAAGAAAAAATTTTACGTCATTACTATCTTGTAAACCAAATTCCTTGTTTCAGATACTGTCCTGCAAAGTACTATCCATTCGACCCCAAAGTATTAGACAAGTACGTAGTAGGAGACGATTATCTGCCAACGTGGGAAGTGCCTTCTTTAGCACATCCCTACACCGCGCTGGGTTTTACTATGAAAGAAGCGTTTGATACCTACGTTAGGTCTAAGGTAATAGCATAAACTTTATTAATTTAAAACTCGCTCTAAAATCGACGAGTAACGTAAATCTTCATATCAAATGAATAGAGAAAATTAAGAAACGAATCACCAATAACGCGGTCGTGGGTTCGATTTCCGATATTAAGAAATATTTAGTTTTCACGTTAAAGGGTGAAGAAAATGTAAAACAATATGAATCGTTTCCTTCTAACTACTAAAAATTAAGTTACATTTCCTACTTCTTTTGCTAGTATATTTATATTCAATCAATAAATGTCAGGGCAAAGATCCGGCAGTAATGTGGACCGAAGTGGAGAGCGCTATATCTGAAGTATTTCTGAACAAGGAACATCATATCATTGAGGCAGTAAGTATGTTTATTATTTACCAGCTTTCGCATGTGATTCCGTCCGCATGAAATTGAAAAAAAAAATGTGAGTATCATATCCATCTATGCCAAATTTCATCGAGATAGGTTCAGCCGTTTAGGCTACAAACTCTAACAAACACCCATCCATCTAAACTTTCGCATTTAAGACATTAGTACGATTTGTAATACGTTAATAACATAAAACTATTAATATATTTTTGATACCAACTTATCATTATTATTACACATCTTTTATTAGCCACACCTGATATTTTTATTTCGTTTGATAAATTACATTAAAGTTCTTTTCTCTGATTTTATTTTCTTCCTCACCTCTAGCACAATTCACAGTATCTTCTCCCTTGCTTTACAACGTTCATATGGATTTAACGCACAGTGTTATAAACCTCAATATTTTATCTTAATTTTTAAGGCCTTCCTTGGTATAATACGAGATTCAAAATGCAACAGATAATTTATTTTTTTACCCTCTTTCTGACAGCTCAACAACTATCCATCAGGAGACAACTTCTTCGAGATGATGCGGTTTGATTTAGTTGTAGACGAGGACTTAAAGGTTTATCTTCTAGAAGCTAATATGTCACCTAATTTAAGCTCAGCTCATTACCCGCCAAATCAGCTACTGTACGAACAAGTCCTGTTTAACCTATTCTCTCTGGTTGGTGTTGCCAGTTACATTAATGGACGAGGAAATACAGATTTAAGGTAAAATATATAATGTTATTTATTTACAATTATTTGTAAGTAGTTATATTTACATATCATTTAATAATGAATACTTATTAACATGACACATCATGACTATTCAATCTTTAATGCTGATTCATTCTTGTGATTACTGCTCCGTCATACATTATTTAAGATTGTAGTATACTATCTAATTACGTTTTATAACTATGTGTGGCCATGGCTTATGCTAGGTTTTGATGTTTCCATTTATTTTATCACTACCTGTTGCCCGCGACTTCGTCCGCTTGGTTTAGAAAACATACGAACTATTTAAATAACAAAAAGCTACGTATCCCTTAGGAACCGGACATTTCGCGGGGATGAACCTTATCCCATGTGTCAAATTCCGTGCCAAATTTCAATAAGGTATATTGGACTGTTGCAGAATGATCGAGTAAACATTAAAAAATTAAATTAATGAATCCCACGGGAACCGTTACTTTTCCCGGGATAAAAAGTAGCCTATGTGTTCTTCCAGATTATGCTCTATATCTGTGCCGAATTTCATGGAGATCCGTTCAGCCGTTTAGGCTACAAACGCTAACAAACATCCATCCATCCATCTAAACTTTCGCATTTATAATATTAAGTGAGATAATAAGATTAATTAAAAATTAATTATTAATATTGAATTATGTTTCAACGGACTCATGTTACGTAGTTACCGTAACAAAATTGTTAAACGAAGCAGGGAAAGCTGTCTTTAATAAGTTTTGTTAACATTTTTGTCTTCAACTTATCTCACCAAAATAAATCTTCGAATCAGGCATTTGTATAAGTGGTCAGTTTCTAATAGTTTAGGCAAATCTTTCATAGATACGAATCCCTTAGTAAGAAACACCCAAATATATATTGCAAGCATCCGTCGTTAAAAGTTTTATGACCTCACTACAAAGGATCTATCGTTCGATTTATTTTTAGATATACCGTTCACTTTTGAAGTAGGAATTTCCTAAATGTTAAAAAGCGACAGGATTTTATTGAAAGAGCAAACATTACTAGATTACTTATCTTTGATAAAACCTAAACCAAGAAATATTTCTCCTAATCTAACCAAATCGTGAGTTTTATTCTCTTTAAAAAACTGAGATAATTTTTTTATGTGTTAAGGCAATGGACTGGTATAAGTTTAACAACTACATATATCCATTTTAAAACGAAATAAGGGCAATTAATGTACACCTAAAATGTTTTATTTTTTAGGGAACAGACCCAAGCAGAAAATATGGTGTCAGCACAGAAAAATATAGCAGTATGGAGTGACGAATGCAGTACAAAATGCAGAGATCGGTGCGAAGCCTCACCGATTTGTAATCTGTGCAGACCTTGTCTTGGCGCCAAATTGAGAAAAAATTTACTTCAAGCTCATAGAGAATTCTTACACAAGGGTGACTTTAAAAGATTATTTCCACCTGAAATGGTAAAATTATTATTACTTTTTTATGCTAGCCCCTAAATGAGTAGTTTAAATTGACTATAATTTCCAACGTAAATTGCAAAACATTTTGATAGTAAAATATTGAACTTTGCTTATCAACATATATTATTTTTATTCTCAATGATTATTTTATCCAATTATAACTGATTTCTCATTAAACTTGTGTAACAGCGATGTTATCAGTTACCCACCCACAACTTGTATACGTCTTATCAAATATTTCCTTAAAAAGTATAAGATATGTGGAACACTTTATGTTCAGGTCAACAAATTTTCGCCAAAAAGATTAACTTATAACATGACAATATAATTGCTATACCGCAGTATAAACTATTGCACAATTCGATGACTCAATGAGATAAAGAAATCGATAACTAACCAAGTCAAGTTACGTTAAAATTTGTTGATAATTTTTCTAGATTATTTTCGTATCCTGTTTTACTTTTTAATTTGTCGATCTAAAGATTTACTTTAGTAATTCATTGATCGAAACGATCACAAAGGTGTATCACGAATATTCGTGATAACGTTTTCGTAACGACATCGACAAAACTTTTATTAGATTAGTGCATTGCCCTACGGTATCTAAAGTACACAAACGAATCTATAAGTTCTGGCCACAATCAGTCAAATCCGTAATAGACCCTCTGTTACCAAAGATTTCTGATTGAAAAGTGTTAACTCATTTTAATTTCAGACACAAAAACAAGTGACTACAGAGCAATTTACAAGCTTGAACAAAATGAATCAACTGCAGTATTTATGGTATCAAGGAAAATGTAACATCGACATCACATGGTGTAAATAAAATCGATTTATAAAACCATTTATTTATTAAAAATAAAACTTATTTATTAAATTTAAAACATATTTTCTTATCCTATGTACTATAGAAGTTTGTAGACAATTTGCAACGTCATCGCCGTAAATCTGACTTAAACATCTCCATACTCACATTGAAAAAACATAGATTAAAAATATGTTTTGATTTCAGTGTTTGTTTCTCTCTGAAACTCCCGGTAACTGGCATCCAACTTACATACATGTATGTACATTTTTAACTTGTAGAATCCATCAGATAAAAATCTGATAAGAATGTTGTACAAGGCTATTGCATTGCATCAATAGGTTATTTTGGAGACACCTGCTCTTAACCACTGATACTCTGCTGATTGAGGATTTTGTCATTGGACCATTGACTGCAGAAGTCCCAATATGTAACTCCCTAAATCCTCGTCCTGACTGGTCCAAGATACGTAAATATTCTTTGTATTATCATTATCCCCTTCAAACTTAATGAGAACTGATTCTACAGATATATTACCATCAGAAATAGTGATGGACCAACCTTGTAATTTCTCTTCCAGTAATGCTTTAAGTTTTTCTGCAGTTTTCACAGCAGGACCGCTATCTTCGAAACGGACTGTACTCGTGAAACGAATCACATGTCTATTTATCCCAATTTCATTGCAAACCTCATCAATATCAAGGAATGAAAGTCTATTATCCTTCACACATAAAATACCATGGACTATTCTACGTCTTTTTGGATCTGGAGGCTGTGCATTGTATCTCACAGATTCAGCCTTAAGTAGTCTTAAGGAGACATCAATTGGTATCTTTGTTGGGGTACTAATTGTACTTGTTTCACCATTAGCTGGCATGTAACAATTAATCTTAAATTCTTTTTCAATTTTATCCTTTAAGAACTCCATTTTCTGTGCCTCTCCATGTACTAATAAGACATTTTTAGGTTCACAATATTGTATCAATTGCATTATACCCTTTGCATCAGCGTGTGCCGAGAATGACATATATTCTACAGCCATTTTAACATCAACAACTTGACGATTCTCAAATTCTACCTTCTTTGCTCCATTAAGAATTTTGTGACCCACAGTACCTTGCACACAGAAACCAGGCATTATCAACATATTCTGCTCATAAGGTGCCCATTTTTTAAATATGTTTAAAGACAAACCAGCATGCAACATGCCTGGGGTAGCAAACACAACCATCGCTCCAGGATTGTCTATGTATGATTTATCGAAAGGTTTTATATGCTTAAAATCAAACATATTTCTTTGCACAAAAGTCTTCCTAATCTTTTGATTGGTCCATGTTATAAACATTTTATAGTAATTGTTTGCCTTTTCAGTTAGACCCAAGGCAAAGTACACTGGATATTTCAAATTCATTCTCTCCCAATATGTTTCAAGTAGAATACACAATTCTTGTGCTCTACCCAATGCAAACACTGGAATCAACACTTTGCCACCTTTTTCAACACATTCATGAACTTTCTTAAGAAAATCCCGTTCACGGCAGCGTTTTGAGTCACGGATGGTTGTTGCATAAGTGGACTCTGTTATCATTAAATCAGGTCTGCATTTATCTATCCAAGCAGCTCCAAGATGTCTGTCTGGTGTCATATTATAATCTCCGGTATACACAACAGATTGATTGCCAACTCTTACCCAAAACATGGCAGCACCTAGGACATGTCCAGCATAGTATGCTTTTATCTCCAACTCATTATCTACCATTACAGACTGATGCAATGTGACTGCAGTCACTTTCTTTATGCAATCTTTAATCATTTGTGATGTAAAGAAATTTGACTCTCCCTTCCTCTCTACAATAAGCTTCCTCATATCTTCTAGCAAAATTGGAGCTATAGCTTTTGTAGGATGGGTCATATAAATCGGTCCAGTATATCCAACCATTTCGGACATATAAGGTAACGCGCCGCAATGATCTAAATGAAAATGAGATATAATAACACAATCTATCTGACTCGTTATAGGTCCTTCGGGAACAATGTATGAAAAATCAGGAAATCTACGTTCATCGTTATATCCCATGTGCATACCACAATCTAACATAATGTTTTTACCGCCCATTGAGAGAAGAATGCAACTGCGTCCAACATCTTGGCCTGCTCCTAAAGGAGTGATCTTTATGTCAGGCATGTTGATTTCCTTTTTTACACTTTGTTAGTTTTTTGTCACGATCTTTGAATTACTTCCTATGGCGTAATCTAAATTAAACACCTTATCACGCTACTATACCTCGAAACTCTATAGTATTTTTAACAATGAATTGGTCCTCACATCGTATTATTTACAGTGAAATAATTAAATAAACAATATCTGCATCACTTGTTACACAGCCAAACGAGTTTAAGCGAGTTTAGAACCGAATTTCAATTTTTTGTCCTTCACTTATATCTACACAACACGCAGTTTAAAAATCATGACATTGACAAATATTAAAATCAAAGAGTAGTAGTATAACCTTTATGTTACCTTTATATATTCTTTGATGTTCGATTCACACTTGGCCAGTACAGTTAGACAGTTGAGACGGCCGGTCATAAATTGTGTGGACCCACTGGCGCCTTTTAGTGCTCATACTACGCTTGTTTTTTTTTGCTAGTCTACTGACTAACTGTACTAGCCAAGTGTAACCCAGGCGTTAACACTAGCTCTGATAGTGATGTACATTTGCATCGAACAAAGATGATGACATTTCATATTGATACATCGAAAACAAAGACATTTCTTTTTTAAATTATTTCTTATTGATGATGATGATTGATGATGAGTTGTTAAATTGGTTAACAAAAAAAATAAAGATTTTCAAGTTATCAAGTTCTTTAATACTAAAAACACGTGTTTCCTTTGGTTGTGAGTATCAAAATTAGCCAATATCTTTATTTTCTTTATGTTTGAATTTTAAACATTAACTAAAAGTATTCAGTACTTTCCATGAAAAATCGATTGAATTTACTCGATTTCTGTGAATTGACAAGATATAAGCGACCAATGTCAATGACAAGTGATGGCACGCAAAAAATATTTTTTTGTTTATTGACTTGGTTTCATTCTTAATCTAATCTTGTTTTCTATTTTGCTTAAAATATAATGATATTGTAAAATAATAGGACATTTTTCTGCCAAACATAACCATATTTATGGTTAGTTTTACTTAAAGCAAATCTAACACCTTTAAAGTAGAATTTCAAGTGTTCAAACAAGTAGTTAATTTCGTGATAAGCTTATCAATGTTTTGCCGGCTTTCCCGGTGTCAGACGTGTTTCTACTGGATTTGAGAATTTAAAAAGTTTGTTATTTATTAAATAACTAAATACAATGTCGGGGGAAAGTTCTAATTCTAATGGTGATAGAAAAGTAGCTCTCATTACTGGTATAACAGGGCAGGTACGTATCGGTCTTTTAAGTTAATTTCAAACAAGTCGAGTAATTTATGTACGTGTACGAATTTCAACAATAACAGGCTATACAAAAAAATCTTATCAGAGTAAATACAGTATAATAAACTGAAAGATTCAGTAAGAAATTCAAATAAAACTCAATGTATACGGCGATACATTTCTTACAATTCACTACGTGGCTATCACTAATTTGTTATATATTTATTTTTTGGGACAAAATTTTTTTTATAAATCATAAAATTTTTAGGATGGTTCCTACTTAGCTGAATTTTTAATTGAAAAAGGATATGAGGTGCACGGAATTTTAAGGCGATCTTCGTCATTTAACACTGGCCGCATACAGCATTTGTATGGCCAGCCAGCATGCCATACCGGTGGGAAGATGCACCTTCATTATGGTGACCTTACCGACACCACTTGCCTTATTAGTATTATTTCTAAGGTAAGTTATTTCATTATTATCTGCTTGCGCCCCAGTTTTGGGCTCACAGCCGACTCTACTAAGACATAGATAGTCTGGCCAGGTGAGGGATAGCTTCACACATATTTTTTAATTTCTTCACCAATATGTGCAAGTTGTGTTTTCTTTTACTGTGATAATTTCATATAAAAATGAACAAGTTTCCCTTCTACAGTATTATTTAGTAAACACTTATTTAGGTTTACTAAGTGCTAAAGCAACATTATAAGGAAGCAATGTTATTTTATCCCTTATTGTGGCAATGTTACTATTTTAAAGAAAAGCAAAAAAAGAATAGGTATCTAAGTAAAAAATATTTTATAGTGATTGTCTATCCTTATGACATACTATACAAAAAAAACATGGACAAATTGAGTACCTTCTTTTGGAAAGTTGGTCAATAAATAGGGTTAGTACTAAACACTCCAGAAATAAACTTAAAAATATGATAAAAGGCGTTAATCAAGTTTTTAAAGAATTATAATAGGATTATCTATGCCTCATAAATATTCAATCTCATTTACATATGTAGTTTTAATTATATTTTATCTGTTGAAAGTTATTCCAGCGAACATGTATTATTATGTCTAGCATGTATTGTCATCCGCTTACATAAAAGGTATAAATATATACAGAAACCTTCAGTATGTATAAATATTTGCATTACAAAAAGTATGAAAACCACTGACAATTTTCTTTAGTATAATATATATACACTGATATATGTTACAATAATCTATATGTAAACATATAATAAAATTGGAGTGTCTGTAATGTCAAAATAAAAATTTCCAGATTTCGAGAAGCTGATGTATTTGCGTTGCTGGTAACAAAAATCGCATTTAAAAATGTCTTGTCTGTCTGTATGTCTTCAAGCCGCGTTTGTTCCAGATAATCGCCAAAACTGCTGGCCGATTTAGACCAGACTTTTGTTTTTTTTTTACGAGTTGTCGCCCGCAAACTTCGTTAGCGCAAATTTAGACCACCCGAAAAGTCCGGTCAAAATCGCCCCAGCCGTTTGGGAATTGCCCCAAACAAACGCGGCTTGCGGACAGATAGAAAGACAATTTTTAATGCAATTTTCGTTATCAGCAACGCGAATACATCATCTTCCCGAAATCTGGAATTTTTCTTTTGATATTAGAAACATACTCTCCAATCTGTACTATTATAATAAAGTGTAAACACACACTTCTTTGTTGCCTAAGATGTCAGCAATTATAACATATTTTAAATAGTTCTTTTTTTAATAAATAGCCCTACACTTACGTCACGCTTTATATTTTCACGCCGTTAAAATTAGGGGTAAATATTTTGGATAAAAAACCCTAATGTGGGAAAGAGATCATAAATTGCTGCCAACATCAAGGAAGCAATTGTCATTTGTGCATTTGAATTTTGACATTTCATGCGGATGAAGCCGCATGGAACAGCTAGTTTTATTATATGCATAGCTTCTAAAAGTAATTCCCGCGCAAATAAAAATGAATTAACAAAATGGCGGGTTAACAACAGAGTTTTATGCTCCCATTGTTATGTATTGTATAACAATAGTTACTTTGTTTATCATTTATTAAATAGGTTGAAACATCTGGTTTCATTTACTACGAACATGATCGTTGCTTTGTAATTACGTTATACGAGCCGAGGTATAAGCATTCCTTTGAAAGTGAAAGAGATAAGGCGAAATTACACTTAGTTGAGTAATCTATACTAATTTTATAAAAAGGAAAGATTTGTATTTTTTGGATTTATTTCAATATTTCAATAATTACTGGGCCGATTTCAAAAATAGTTTCGCCATTAAAAGGCTACGTAATCTGTGAGTAACATAGGAATTTTTTTATAATTTTACGCAGGCGAAGTCGCGAGCAACAGCTACTATACAATATTCCGGGACTGCCAAATAAATTTAAGATTTTTAAAACAAGCATCAGATCCTTCTTACCATTGAAAGATTATTCGTCTTGATGATTCCGAGTAACGATTTTCTATCAAAGACTAACCGTCATTTCCGATTATCATTAGATTAATCGCGTTAAAATCGATAAGATTAAAAATATTCTAAAGCCATTAGTACCTAATCTATTACATGAATGTAAAAACCCTTTTAAGTTCCAAGTATTGCGATATCCATCTATTGTTACAAGTTCCAGATTGTCTTTATAACAAAAATACAATTTAAACAAAGATACTGCATATGATAGAGTAGACTACTTTTTACTACAGAAAATCGTACAATTCCCTCAGTTTGACAGCTAATTAGAAAGTCTTAGGCCCTGTCCGACTACTGGCTGATAGAGGTTCAGATAGCTTAAATATTACGTAACTGTTAGATAAGGTAACAAAATCCAAAATTGTTATCACACAATTTACAATTTGGGAGGACAGGCCCTTAGGTAAATTTACTGTGTTCGTTCCAGACTCGTCCTAAAGAAATTTACAATCTAGGAGCCCAATCACACGTTAAAGTATCGTTCGAACTGAGCGAGTATACGGCACAAGTGGACGCTCTTGGTACTTTAAGGTTGCTAGAGGCAGTCCGCGTGGTCGGTCTAGAGAAAGAGACCAAGATATACCAAGCCTCGACATCTGAACTGTACGGAAAGGTGGTTGAAGTTCCACAGACCGAGAAAACTCCTTTCTATCCACGGTCACCGTATGGTAAGTATTCGGTATCAGATATACCGAACATTTTCGACTTGTAGGGGCTTGTCCCACCACTGACCGATAGAGTGCCAGATAGCTTAAAAATGACGTTACTGTCAGAAAAGGAAACAAAACCTGATATTTCCATCACATATTTTTCACGTTGGATTATTATCAGACAATTTACAATTTGGTGGGATAGGCTGTAAATCTCTATTTTTTTCAACCTATTTTACAATATACTCGCTGGGTCCTAGGGAACTTAGAACAGCCTGGGAATCACTGAAAAACATTAGTGCTTATCCTATGTAAAACTTAATTCTATTATAATGTACAGGGACAGGGCTAGCCAGGCCAGGGTAGCATAGCTTCCAGCGCCAAACAGGCATGAGATAAACCTTTACCAATTGTTTTGTATGTTTTGTTAGCATGTGCAAAGCTCTACGGTTATTGGATAGTGGTTAATTACCGCGAAGCCTATAACATGTTCGCTTGCAATGGCGTCCTCTTCAACCACGAGAGTCCGCGTCGAGGCGAGAACTTTGTGACTAGGAAGATAACACGAGGCGTCGCTAAGATAACATTAGGTCTCATGTCCTGTTTGGAATTGGGCAATTTGGACAGTAAACGAGATTGGGGACATGCGAAGGATTATGTAGAGGTAATTTTCTGATGTATTTTGATTTATTTCTAGATTTTTCTGGTAAAGAGGGAATTAGTTTGTGAGGTGAATACATTATCTATGGATGTAATATTTTTTTTTTTATTTAATAATTTAATTGGCAGATTTTCAGTAAAGTAATCAGTATAATAAATGTTCAAATAATTTAAAAAATACTAAAGTGTTTACAATCGCTAGAGACCCATATGAATGACTTTAAAAATGATTTCTCAGTTTTTTATTTTACAAATTTGATTACATGTTGATAAACTTTCTCTTTGGATCCTGTCCCCAAACTGATTATTATTCCGGCCTCTTTATCATCATCCTGTCCCGCTTTATCATCTTACACCAACTTGATTATCATCCCTCCCTCTCTTTGATCATTGTGCTGCGTCCCCTGTCCTTGATTATCACCCTGCCTCACCCCAAGAT